AGAAAGGGCTGTAGTTCTTCACCAAGTGCCCTACGATTCCTTTGGAAATTACAAGTCTAAGTATTATTTCTCCAGCAGGAGAGTGGGCTCTGGGTAACTGCACTGACAGTGAGTGGCTCATTAAAGTGACCAAATTTGGGAATCCTTCCCCAGGGGAGGGGAGCAGTGACCTCCTGGGGGCTGCATGCTGGCCATCCTCAGGTCATGCCTGCATTTGCTCGCTCAGGTGGAAAAGAGAGAGCTGGAAAGCTCTCCAAATGGGATGGCATGTCTCCATGTGGCTCCTTTTTGTCTGTGTGACTTCAAACAAGCACTCCTGGCAATGCCATCAGCACACCTGAGCTCGGAGCTGTTTGTCTGCTGCCAGGCTCTGAGCCCCTGCGTTAGGATCCTGGCATACATGTTCCTCAGGCATGGAGAGAGAGAATAATAGATGTGAGTCTTACAGAAATAAAGCTAATACTGAGGCTTGCTGCTTTCTTTTCTGTATGCTTTTGGATTTAAATGTTATGGTTGTCCCCCTGGAGAGGGGAAAACTCTCTTCCTGTTCAGCACCATGAGGTGTTTGTCCCAGCCACAGGTCTCTGCACCCAGGGAAGGACTCAGGGCTGCAGCACCTGTGGAAGGAGCACCACGAGCTGTGTTGAACTGAGCAGTGAGAAGATGGCCATGGATTTAGCGTGGAAGTTTTGGCTTTCTGGTAAGTCAGGATCTCTTATTATTGTTTTATCATATTTTTTTGAGCTTCATATTTAATTCAGGTCAAATCTAAACTACTAAACAGAACTGTTATGCAGCACACATATCAGATAAATGAAGTGTGGGTTTAGCATAGCTCTGACCTAGTTACTTCATGCAATGTTTTGTAAAAGCAAAAATTGAAATCTTTTATCTGAACACGAAATGAGTCTTTGTTCCCCTGCTTATTGCAGCACTTTGCATATATTTGGTTTCAAAGACTGATGAAATTTGCCATTCTGAATCTTTCACTTGAGAAAGGCTTGTCTTTGCTGGTAACCCAACCCAACAGTGTATTGGCAAAAGGATTGTCTGCCATCAGAGGCACACAGAGCGATCTTGACACATCAGATGGCAGAAAGACAGGACCAGAGTTGGTAAATATTAATAAACATTAAAAATAGCTGGATGTTTTTAAAAAGAGTAATTCTATTTTTGTTACTGTTCTCAAAAATTAAAAAAGAAGATATTGGAAAGAAGAGGCAAACCAGACTAAATGCCAAGATGTTTGAAGGACTCGCAAAACACAGATGTGCTTTTCTAATCTTTCTGAAATAAATACTTTTTCCCTACCATCTATATCTCTATAAAGATTTTGAGTCTGAGAGAGAAAGGGAAACAAATATAATTAAAAATTCTTTAGTTTCTTTAAATTTCAATTTATATTATTTTTAAAAATGGATTCCCTTTGAATTATTAAGAAATCCATACAACAACTACAGGATTTTTTCAAGTTTGTAATCAAACATGGTTTTCAGTACTTAATTTTCATTATTTTTGATTTTAGAAATCCTGACAAGTTCTGATTATGATTAAAATGGGAAAAGTGAACGTAGAATGAAAATGATGAAAAACAAAATAGAGTGTTCTGCATTCAACCCCCCACTGAGCTATTGAGAAAATTAATGTTTAATTAAACTCCTGATTTTAGAGAAATAGCTGGGGTTTTGTTATAAAAAGATTATAACAAATTGTCAAATAACTGTGTATTAATAAGTGCTACATGGCAGTTACAGGGCAGATTCCACCAAGAGAGCTCAGTGCTGCTCGTTACTGCTTGGCAGGGAAAATGTTGATGGTCTAATTTGAGAGACGCTGTGTAATTTGTAACAATGCAAATGTCCAGTAGTTGTACTAAGAAGTAATATCCATTGGAGCTGGAATGAAGCGCTGAGGCAGGTGGAGGGGATGAGGATTCAGTCATTCCCATCAGGTGAGTCACTCATGGCAGAAACACCTGTAGCTCTGCAGGACACCAGCGTGTACCAGCGCAATTTAATACTTCCCACAGTTTCCATTCCATGCCTTCTGCTTGGCCTGCCTCTTCCCTCTCTTCTTTTTTAACTCTTCTTGCCACTCTCCTCCATTTCTGTTTTGTGTTTCTTGCTTCTTCCTGACATCCTCGAAAATGTAATGCTTGTTACTCCAGTGTATCAAGCACTCAAACCTGAAACCACGCCATGGTTCGTCTCTTTTATCTATTATTTATCAGGAAGGCTTTTGAAAGCAGTGATCACTGCTAGACATAAAGACTGGATAGCTCACAAGACAGCACAGCTCAGACACGTGCCAGCTCAGGATCCTTCTTTGATTCTGTGTATAAAACTACCTAACTTTGGATAACATGTGCTGCTATGATGAGTCTTGAAGTTTAATGGCAAAATAAACCGTCAGATAAGGAAACCATAAATCCTGCCACCTTAAAAGTGTCTGAATGAAGAGCTGAAATGGTTCCTTGTCTCCAAGAGGAGCAGTCTCAAAAGGAGCAGCAGGTTAGATGGCAGTCATGGTCTTTCCCAGAGGATCACACTGATGGTTTGTATTCAGTGTATTGGGAATGAATGCAAGTTAGGAGGAGTGAAATGCTTGAAGGTGCTGAGTTGTTTGCTGTCACCTTGAGGCACCTTTCTAACCCCGTGAGATCACTGCAGTAGATAACTCAGGTGCACACTCGTGGGCTGGGAGATATGCTGTGGCTCCAGGTGATTTATTTGCACAGGCAGAGCAACTGTTCCTGTGCTGCTTCAGGAGCTCACCTAATAAAGGCTGGCATTTTAAGCACTGCACATCAAAATTGCTTAAGTATGAGACAGGCAGCAAAAAATGAAAATTGGATAAACACATGTGACTCCATAGACATTTGAGGCATAATTAGATGTAGTATTTTAATGATCTCTTTACAGAGAATGTAGAAAAAGCAGCTTGTTTACACATTGAGTTCAGCATTAAGAGCTGTGCTGTGATTTGTTCTCTGGAAATGCAGTGCTGCCTGCCTCTGATTTTATAATCTGTTGACTAAACTCATGGACTGTCAAGTACGTTTCAAGATTATCCGTGTTTGGCTGTCGGATTATATTTTTTAGGGAACACAGCTTCTGTTTATTCTTAACTCTGCTGCTGATTTTCCCAGGTTTCTGCCATATGCTACACGTCACAGATGAGTATTTTGCTGTCTTAAAATTTGACAACTCTGTATCCAGTTTAATAGTTCTGTCATCTCAGCATTGTCATTAGCACTGAATTACAACAGAGGATATTTAAGCACCAGATTATGGCACCCAATATCTGTTAAAATAACAAATAACAAGGGCAGACATTTTAAGAAGAGTCAGTAATACTTCAAAAACATCAGTCAGTCAACAAAGTCATAAACACTGATTTAGTGTCTAATTAAAAAAAAGTTTGCTGAATGGTTATGCCTACCTAGCTAAACTGCAGTTTTATGCATCTGCCTCACTGTGGGCTTTATGCATAAATCACACACACTGACAAAACTCTGTTGAAAAAGATGTATAGACAATATATTTAATGAACAGTTTTGAGAGTCTGAAGATTAAAAACAGCAGAAGATTTGTAAACCCATATTCAGAAAATATGCAGATATCTTCTTGTGCATAAATTATACATTAGCTGGCTCTCTAATATACTTTATGCAAAATAGAGATAATATGTAGTACTGTGCAAGGTTAATATTGATCAGCTCTTTTGAAGCCACATTCTTGCCCTGCTGAAAGTAAACACTCTCCTTAGATTCAGAAAAACAGAGAAAATAAATAGGTAGTTAGATAAGTACTATGAAAAACAAAGCCTTTTAAACTCTAGTCAAATAAATGCATACTGCTAAATGATAGCAACCATTTAGTGCTACCATTTCCCTGCTATAATATCAAAGCAGTGAAATTTGAATCCTTTTAAAAACAGGGATTATTTATGGGCCTGAAATTACACACTTTATTGGATTAGAGACACGATTCCAAATATGAACCTGATTTGAACAATAATTGCAAGTTCCTTCTTATTGGAACCGCAGCCTTGTTTTTTCTGCTGGTTTGCTTCCAGCATTTTTTTCCTCTTTTTTATAAACATTTTCCTTTTAACATCTCTCAAGTACTTCAACCAGAAACAACCCAAAAACAGTAAGGAAAAGAGTTTCAATCAGCAGATGGGAATTTGTGGTCCTTTATCCTTCTAAACACTGCAACCCAAACCCAAGGATCAGCAGCCAGAGCTATTTTTTCTTTTTTTTTTTTTTTTTCACACTGTGATTTTTAACCAGCCCTAAACATTTAACTCATGTAAGTGAACATTTTTCTCATGGAAGCAGTTCTTCTGTCGTGTTCAAGTTATTAACTTTGCTTTACCTTTGCTTGGGAGGATTTATCTGCCCATTGCTCACAGGCTGCTGGGAGATGTCCAGCCTCTTCCTTCATGGCAAGGTTGTGCTGATTAGAAAACTTGCAACAAATGGAAAAATCTTGCACACAGTCTTTATCTAATCAACTTCAACATGGCTCTTCCCTAACTTTGCAAATTAAATCTAAATATTAGTTCACTCTTTAGGTTTTCAGGTCACACTCAGCACCGTAGCCTGCTTTATGCTGAGCATAATTACCCCAATATAGTGTGGGAACAGAGGAGGGAAAAACAAGAGCAAGAAAGCAACATCAGTGTTCAGTGTTGCTGCAGTTTCCCATCCTCTGGGCAGGGACGGGCTTATTAACTGCAAAATCCAGTCTGGAGCCCACTGGCATTTCACGTGAGACAGAGCTGGAGATGGCAGCACAGTGGGACAATATATTTGCAATTAGCAAATATTTTAATGTGCACTGGCATGTCCTTTAATCAGCTGTTCTCCCAGCCTTTTCCCGTTTACTTTTCTGTGGAGAAGATTTGCTCTTGTGAGAAGGTTTCTCTGAGCAGATTTCTCTGTTGGCAGGAAAGTGATGGAACAGCAGCTTCTGCCTGTGTTCAAACCTCAAGGACATGGGCACTGGCAAACATTGCACCTCCCAAGCCAGCCCTTACAAAGTGTCCATACCCAGGCCAGCACGGGGGACAAGATTCTGTGACTGAGACAACCCCAGCTTTGCAGCAACCAAGGAGCACAGAATCTCTTGTGAGGAGGATGTGAGTATGAGAATGTGAATCTCTTCAACTCTTTCTCTGCTGCACTGTGCTGGCATATAAGTGAAATGAAAACATTGTTGCTAATCAAGTCCACTTCTGAATAGTTCACAGAGAATAAAACATCTGTGTACTATAGTAAAAAAACTTGTAGCTGGGTGAAAATTATAAACTTGCAATCTTGAATTAAATAATATCCCACTTCCTATAAACTGTGTGACTGGGAAAAAAACATGCAGCTGTTTTCTGGCCTCCTCTAACCCCACACTCCAGGGATTAGTCCCAAGAAGGGACAATGGAGGGATAAAATGGGCAGTGGCCTATCTCCATGAGTTACCTTTCCTGGTGTGGCTCCTACTGGGGCTTCAAGGTCCCAGTGAAAGCCATAGGGAGTGATTCTTCTTCCCAATTCATTTTTCTGTGTAGCTTTTCTGCCTGCTGCTTTCCCTGTACCAGGACAGGCTGCACACTTTATTGATTAAGCTGCCTGGTTTTCTCTTTCAGTGACATCCTTCATTTGAATGTGTATCTGTTTTGCTGAATCAGCTGTGTATTGAAATGCTGGAGGGTTCAGCTGCTCTTCTGTTTGAGCTGCATATTTGGTTTAATCCTCTTGTGATTTTTTGCTTGCTCATCTGGCTACTACTTTAGCCAAGTAATTCTGGGGGGTGGAGGGCTTGCACTGCCAATTTCATTTCTGACTGGGAAACATATTGTATAAAATGAGTTCAGTCATTCACAGCTGCAACTGCATATTGTTGGAGTTAAATGCCTTTTAAAAGAAAAAATACAAGATTTGTTTGATTTCCAGTGTTGGAGACCCAGTGTTGGGAATATGGGAGGAGTTCTCAACCTGGAAGCTAAACATAAGTAATCAGGAATATCTGAAGCCACGGAGGGGAGGTGGGTGGGTGAATGGGAGGCAGTGGGAAGGAGGGAGGGTGCCATTTTAAATTGAGATTTAAGAAGATCTGCTCATTCTCTCTTCGGCATCTGTGGAAGTTGGGAAGCAAAGTACACAGCCCAGCAAAGAAGCACAGGTGTGAATTCAATTGTGTTTCAAGCAAACACTGTATTTCTATGGCAGTAAATCCCCTCAGAATTAAAGCTGGAGTCACAGATAGTTCTATATATTTATTTATTTTCAGTGGATAGAGATCCCAGACTTTAAGGAATGTGTTGCAATGCGGACTCAGAAATGCCAGCTGCCCAAGTCCCAATGAATCCTAGCTGCAGAAACCACTGTTTCTCCAGCATCATCTCTCTTTTGGCATCGAGCTTGTGTTTGAGACCTTTCAAATGCTGCAGAAGATGCTTCTTGCTCAAGAAAAAATTATCTCATCTCTTGGGAGGGAACAGACTGGAAGTTGCAGCTCACAAACTGGTAAGTGATAGCCCAGACCTTGGGGAGGAGAGTGAGCTCCTTTGCCAGCAAAGGTCTGATACTGCAGCTCAGCGCTGGTCTTAAAGTAGTGTCCATCCACCTTCCTCATCCTTGTCTTTTTGGACATCAGGCAATGCCTGAAGGCACTTGAAACCAGCACTGCCTTCCACAAATCTTCAATGCTTGATGTACCCTCCAGGGAGAGCCAGGGGTTTCTGTATGGAGCACAGCTACAGGGAACGGCTCAAGGGCACATTAAGCTGGATATAAAGTACCATATGGATAGACTTAGCATATTCATTCCTAAACCTGCTTTAATGTCTACCTTGTCTCCAGCTGCTCATCCTATAGGCTCACCTAGAAAGTGCCTGAAGCCACAAGGATTAAACAGAGAACTGCCTGACTGGAACTAGACAGGAGACCAACCTCCAGCCAGGCTTCTTGGCTGGAAAAGTCTCTCCTCCTCCTCTGGCTTCACAGCTGCCTGCAGCCAGAAGGGCCCTGCCGTGCCTGGGCTGTGCAGGGTGCAGAGGGCACACACTGAAACCCTGTGCAGGGTGCAGAGGGCACACACTCAAACCCCTGTGCAGGATGCAGAGGGCACACACACTCAAACCCTGTGCAGGGTGCAGAGGGCACACACACTCAAACCCTGTGCAGGATGCAGAGGGCACACACTGAAACCCTGTGCAGGATGCAGAGGGCACACACTGAAACCCTTTGCAGGATGGAGAGGGCACACACACTCAAACCCTGTGCAGGATGCAGAGGGCACACACTCAAACCCTGTGCAGGATGGAGAGGGCACACACACTCAAACCCTGTGCAGGGTGCAGAGGGCACACACTCAAACCCTGTGCAGGATGGAGAGGGCACACACACTCAAACCCTGTGCAGGGTGCAGAGGGCACACATTCAAACCCAGCTGCCAGCACTGGCTGCACCACCCCGTGAGCTGCTCCCAGCTGGGCTGTGGGGGTCCCTGCGTCTGGGTGGTCCTGGCAGGGCTCCCCCATGGCACGACCAGGAGCTCACAAGAGTATTTTTAACCTGCCTACTAAACCCTTTCCGCTTTCTGGAGTGGGGAGACATTAAAAATTTGCAGGAGCTTTCTCACTGACACAGTGAAATAACCCCCAACACAGCTGCTCCCTCTTAACTCTGGAGAAAAGGTTTGTGTAAGTGGTGCCCTTGGGGGTCAGGGATCATGGCTAGCAAGTGTGTTCCCCCATTTCAGTTCTTTTTTATGCCTTTTTTTTTATTTCCTGAACACAGTTTAGGTCTGTATATATAATCAAAACTCTCAAAGACTTTCCTTAATCTCTTACTGTTTCTGATTATCACTTATTCTTATGGTATTGTTTCTGCCAAACCATTTACTTGTGGTATTTTGAAAATGAACATGATAAGAGAGAAATGTTATCAGCAAATCTTGTGGTTTCTCAGTAGAACTAAGTAAGATTGGTAGCTGTAAAAAAATACTTCTGGGAGGTTCCTCACACAAAGCTTTTTTTGGTACTCCTTGTACAGTTCTTAAAGGATTCCAGTGCAGACTGACGACTGCAATGGCAACTCAGTGGAATTTATATCAGTGTCTACACCTGCCTCTTCTGTTCGAGTGGTGGCAGGCCTGTGAAATCATTATTAGAAATTCTGTGATCCCCTTCATCTAGGCTCTGCATTTAATAGGAAAATTAAACAAAACTCAAAACAATGCAAAAAAAAATATATCAATTATTAGGGAAAAGGACCAAGTTGCAGTGAAGTCTAGCAAGAGACAGACATTCAGTGCTGGTGAGCAGAATGGGCATAAATGATGTTTATGGTCCCTGTTGCAGTACCCAGCTCTCATAGCCCTTACCCTTACAGGGAAGATCCTCTGCACTTCCTTACCATTATATCCTTTTCAAAAAGTGTCATCCTTTGTGCCCACATTTCTATTTCCTAGTTACATTTTCTGTTATTTCAATAGTGTTGCATTTTAAAAACACCCTCCCCCGAGGCCTGGGGCAGACGCGGTGCAGGAAGGAGCTCCCCTTGCTGAGAGGACAAAGGCTGCTGGAGAGGAAGGTGGGGTGGCTGGCCCAGCACTCGCCGTGTCCCGAGGATGGCTTTGCCTTTTGTGAGCAGCCCGAGGAGATTAGAGCAGCCCGACTGCTGCAATCAGCCCTCCGGAGACCTCTGCTCCCCGGAGCTGAGCTGCAACCAGCATCTGGCCCCACCGTGACCTTGGTCTACTGAAATGACATTGGACTAAAGGACTTTTTAATTTTGTCTCTCTTTTTCCCCTCCCCTTTTCTTTATTCGCTTTCCCTCCCTATCCCCCTCCTATTTTCTGTCGTGTATTTCGGACTGCTGTGGATTAGGGAGTCTCTGTTGTAAAGGAGAGGGGCTCAGATGTTATCAGTGTTATCAGTTCGTCTGTAAGTGATGCTTTACAGCCAGGCAGCCTGGAGCTGAGCAACTGTGCCATCATCAGGCTCGGATCAGCAGCACAAAGTCGGGGAGACGTCGCAGGAGCTCTGAGAGGCCCGGAGAGGCACAGCGGCTCCTCGCTGCGGGCACAGTGCCACGGAGATACTGTAAGAATTTGTAGCTCTCACAGAAAGTTTCCCTGTGAGAAATTTCCTACAGAGTCCTGGAATTTTTTTTTTTTTTCTTTAATCAAAACTGAGGAAAAAAAATAAATCTGAAGGGAAAGGCTATTATTGCAGTTCATGAGCTGACATTTTATCTGAAGGCAAGAGAGATAAAGAAAAGCATTAGAGAAAAATCACCCAGGGAAGTTTGAGCTGGCCTTGGCAAACACTTCTAAATATTTACAGGAGACTTCTGCAGATCAGCTACTGCTTAGATCTACAGTCCTCCCAGTGCAGGAATTAAAACACAGGTTGGATAATCAAGGTCACTGAACACATATCATTTTATTTCCTGGGCCAAGCAAGCTACCTAGGGAAAGAGATAAAGCTGAACTAAAACTGTTCATAAAGCATGAACTGAACCTGCAGCAATCCTTTAGAGCTTAAAAAGTTCTCTCCTCTGAGGAGAGAGGTGCCCTCACTTAAAAGTCCTGTTGTCTGTACTTCCCCTCTACCCCAAAAGTGTTGAAGAGGCAAAGCTGTCCTGTCCAGAAGCTTAGTTAAGACATTGGGTTGACCAAGAAATGTACCTATAGCAGCACAGAGACTCAGCCCAGCACACACAGTCTGAAGGATTTATGCAGTTATAAACATTTATGTAAAGAATGATAAAAATCAGCTAATTGCAGGAAAGTTCATGTTTTCTACATATTTAATAGATGGGCTCTTTCCTAGCTCATGCCTATGGAGAACCCAGGGCTCCAGTGTCCTGGGTATGATGCAGCTATAAAACCTCGCTGCCATTCAATCCCAGTGCCCCTCGTGCACGCTCTGGTTTGTAGGAGTTATCTGTGAAAAAGGCTTGGAGCAGAGCACTCAGGGGCTGCTGCTGCTTTTAGGCAGTGCAGTGGCAGCGTGTTTTCCTCGTGCTGCTCATTGAGCACTGCAGTGTTGGCACACAGATCACAGGGATGTTTAAATCCTGCTATTACAGAGACAGTCCAAGTGCCCAAATAGCCAAGGGGGGGCAAGGGACCCAACAAAAGCAGGCAAATTACCTGTCCCATGCACTCCCCACACAGGTGATGTCTGATTCCCCTCCCGCACACTGGGATGGCACGAGAGCAAGAGCATGGGAGAGCAGAGCAGAGGAGGGTCTCCCACAGCCCCTCCACCTGCTGCCAACTGAAGCAGCTTGAGACAAGCTTTGGGGTGACCTTGTTCTGCTGCTCAGCTCAGACCTCGAGGGCAGCACTGAAAGCCCCTGTCATCGTGCTGGTCACTTGTCAAGCAGCAGAGCTCACCTTTGCAGGCCAGTTGTAAATGCTCGGGTTCTGCTGCAGTTGCCTCCCCTGTGCCCCTCTCCTGGACACACATTGAGGTGTGACTGTTCTACAACACTAAATATAAGTATAGAGACAAGAATCAATGTCACCAGGAACGTCCTTGACCACCATCAGGCTTTCCTTCCATGGTCAGTACTAGTTGCAGGCAGTTTGGGATTAGAGAGAAGGATTTATGATTTGGTCTGATCATAACAAACTCAAAATTCAGGAGATGGGAAAAATAATGATTTCTCTGAATAGTCACCTTGTACTAGAGACATAAGAACTGAGTGACTGAGGTAGGTGAGCTGGGTGATCCCTCTCCCAGAGCATTCCTGCACTCAAGCAGCTGCAGCTGCTGGAGGTGTTGCTGGTGCTTTGCATGTAGGGCTTATGTGTAAATAGGATTGCCAGGCCTGTATGCACAATTTGGGATCAGTTTCTTATTCCCAGTTAAGCAGTTGGATTTTATTCTGAAGATGCCTTTTATTCTTATACAGAATAAATTCCACAGTATCGTGATGGTTTTGCACCCATGTGTTTGATAGAGAACCATCACCTTGGCCCACCATGGAAGAAATGGACAGTTTTCTTCCCTCTCATTGACCTGAAATGACTCCCACACCTACACATTTCACTGTTGGTCTCATGGCTATTGTTAACCAAGGTTGGTTGCTTGTTTTTGTCCAAAAACTGGAAACCTTCATCAGTCCAAGCTCTGCTTTTTGCTCTGCCTATGGGTATCTGTAAAGGTGCACAGCAGCTAATGAAGGGAAGAAAGCCTGTTTTCAGAATATCAAAACTCTTCAATAGGGGTTAGCACCTCTGTTTCAAGATTTTCTACCAGAGAAAGGCTGAGATCTGCTCCTTTGGAAAAGTAATTCCTTACTGACCCAGAGCAAGACAGTAAATTCAACAAACAAAATGGAAAGGATGAAGCCTGCAACCTGACTGGTATACACAATTTGTTTTCCTCTACAAGGTTAAACGCACAAAATGCATAAAACCTGGAAACTGGTCCCTGTTTTGCTTCTAAACCCCTCCTTCAGGGGTCTTCAGCCCATTGGAACCCACCTGAGAACCCACGAGCCCAGAGATGTTTTGATGGCAGACCTTTGCTAGGACTGCCCAAGAACGAGGGGACAGTGGGGAGTTTCTAAACAGACAACTTAACATCAGGTAAACTCATCATCACAGAGACTGCCAGAATAAACTGGAAGGTTTTGAATGAAACGAGCTTATTTCCTACTGGTGTTAATCCTTCATGAAGTATGGATGTTAATCCACAAAGAAATTCTTAGAAAATTATCTTTTACATCTCCAGGGCGGAAAGGTCTCAGTTGTGGCACTGAATACTGAGAGCATCCTATTTGATTTACCAGTGATCACCAAGGTTTACATCAAAGGTCAGGAATAAGTCCGGAATTTGTAAGCTGTGAAAAAGGTATAAACACTTTAATTTATTGCCCTGTCACTGTTAATTCATTCGGTATTCACTGTGATAGCATTGCTGTTAATGAATGTATTTGGTAATAATGTGGATGTCACAGATATTTATGCTCTCATCTCTCTCAGTGGCTCAGCAGGCAAGGCAAGTTAGGAGCTTTGCCATTTTACGTTTTATAAATTAAAGAGGGAAAATAAACCATGTTTCATTTCAAAGAAGTACTTAACAAATATCTATTACATTTAGCTACCCCAAATGAGGGCCCATCCTATTACAGAAGAATTAGTACTGGACACAAAATGATGGGTGTCTGGAATGGATGGAAGCCAAAGGGGAAGCTTCCTATGTATTTCAGGGGCAACAGGTCAGACTCTGTTCAAAATATGTAGATTAGCTGATGTTTGTTAAATATAGCTAATAAATAAATTTTAGAACCCATATCTTTATGTCTTATGTGACTCTTTAGAGTCAAATTGGGAAAAAAATACTCTTGGATATCTGTTTCAAATCCTGAATCAACAAAAAAAGGAATCAACAGAGGAGCTCTAACCTTTGCACAGTGGAGAAATGTGTGCCTGTATGGAGCTTGTAAAAATCTCCTAATTGTAAGTTAACCTTGATTTTTGAACAGTCAGGTGGCACATACACATTTAGCTGACTCTGCATTAACCTGATTTTCCACACATTTTAAAATTACACACAAATACTTTGTAATCCTTTCGTACATATTTTTATCCTGCACTCTTCAGATCATGCAATGGTGCCTCAAAACAGGGAGTTTTTCCAGTTAAGGTCAGCAGAAGCCTGGCCATTGCTTTCAACGGCTCCAGGATTCGGATTATAACCAATTCATTAATTCTGTAATCTAGTCATAAGCAAGTCCATAATATAAATACGGATAAGCAGCAAATACCTTCCTCATTCGGAAATACTGACTGGGAGCAGGAGGCCCTGCACTCCTGGGCTCATGAGATCATTATCAAGCAGCTGCTGACACATGTGCATGGAATTCCATGCATGGAATGCCTGGAAAATGCTTATGCGCCTGGGCACTTGCTACTGCTCTATTATTATGCAATAATGCATTATTACTTGTATTTGAAGAGCAAATGCTGGTCAGACAGTTCTACTGATATGAATTTTCACATCTTTTGATGGTGAAAGTCCTGCTTCATTAATGCTCCAAGTCCCGCTCAACAGAACTGAGGCGGGAGGAGGAAAATAAATGACTACAAATACAGTTTAGAAACCTCTGCTCTGACCTAAACCACCTTGCCCATAAATCACGATCCTGCAGTTTCAAACCCTGGCTTGGGACTGTACACATGGGCTATACAAGCACAAGTCCCTGCCATTCCCAAGGCTCCCTGGCCCCAATCTGCCTGGGGAACAGGAGGATGGACAGTCCTCCTCTCCACAACCCTCACAGGCCTCTTTTCCACAGCTGCCCATTATTGCTGTAATCGCTTCTTTACAGCCTCTGTGAATTGATTAGATTTGGAAAGTGCTGCAGTGGGAATAGGGGACTCTGGCAGGACGTGTGCCAGCCCGAGAGCTGGTGCTGCTGGGGATGTGCTGCCCATTTGCACATCCCATGTGGGACTGGGTTTAAAAAAACCCCAACATTTTGAAGGGGAGAGGGAGGGACAGAAAACCCAACCTGTGGTTTTTTTCAGAGCCTTTCAGTGTTTTCTTCTGAAAAGATCAGTCCTTCACTGTGCAGTAATATGTTCCATAGTTTAATTTAATGCCTTGGTTAGGAAAACTTAA